TATATTCTATTTGCATAGAAGTCCCCATAGGCAAATAGAATATTCTGGCATATGCATATTCCTTCCTCTCTTTGGCTTGACCTGTGGCCCTGACATTTCCTTGTAGTGGAAGATGAAGAAGAAACAATTGAAGAGCAGGAAGCTAAGGAAGGGAATGTCAACCATCAGATGGAGCTGTCCACGTTGGCCAAGGAAGGTGAGTGCAAGGGCTTCTGCATAGCCTTCCGTAGGGCATTGCAAAATACAAGTAGTCCTTGGTTAACAACCACTTGTTCAGCAACCGTTTGAAGTTATGACGGTGCTGAACGAATGGTGGTTATGACTAGTTCTCGAAGTTCCGGGCGTCCCAGGACCCCTAGGGTGACGATCCAGGCACTTGGCAATCGGCTCGCACTCACAATGGTTGCAGCGTCCCACATCGTGTGATCGGAATTTGTGACCTTCCCTGCCAGCTTCCCACCTGTCTGCTGGCCTGCTTGCAAACCTCCTGGAACTTGCAGCTTCTTGCCAGCTTCCCCACTGACTTTGGGTGTTGGAAGCTGGCGGGAAGTTGTGAGGAAGTGCTCGCTTAATGACCCATGATCCTTGCTTAACGACGGCAACGGGGACTGCAGGGATTGCCTTCACTGCGGTCACCTGACATCACGCTTTACGACCGCATCACTTAGTGACAGAAATTCAGGTTCCAGTTTGCCCTTGTAGCTCGAGGACTTCCTGTATATTCCTCTTCTTCTAGGTATTCTTACTTTTCACTCTGCCTTAATCTCAAAATTATTACTTAACACTGTTTGCTTTAAAAAAAAAAAAAGATTTATTCAGAGCATGTTGTGTTGTTATAGAGTGCCAGATTATGATTATGGCATGCCATTTTTGCAGTTCTGCTCTGTTACCTTTTGGAGCACCCAGTGTATTCCAGATGCTTTTCTCATTTCTGTGTCAGAATGTGGAAAAAATAAGAATGGCCCCACATGTTAGTTGTGAGGGATGCCCATAGAGATGAGAACCCACCACCCACCAGAGATACTCTTCTGGCTAAGGAAGGTTGTATTGTCACATCTCTCTTTAAGCACTGATGAGAAAAGTGCTCAGAAAGCTTGCAAGGGCCTGACTTGCTTGGGGTCCTCAGTTGTGAAGGTGCTAAAGGAAATGAGTAGTGTTAAGGAATGGCTGATCAATTCTCCCTTCAGATGAGAAGATGCCCTCTGGATGAACGATCTCCCTGGTCGGTCAGGAGCCTTCCGTGTTCTGTTCTGTGGTGAGCCGATAGATCTGATCTTATCTAGAAAGGCGAATCTGTGCTCCAGAACTTAATACCTTCAAAAATGGCCCTGCATTTTCTTCCCCAAAACACTCTGAATGGAACTTTGAGGATAGGAAGGTGAAAAGTTTGCTGGGTGTTGGGTTGAAAGGGTCCTTGTTGAAAAGACATGTTTCTTGCTAAGCAGCTTCCACCTACCTCGGCTTTTAGAGCTGAATCAAAGCTGGAATCTCATGTTCCTTCTCTTTTTTTCCCCAATCTTTTTCGTAGCTGAGCTGCCTTTAGATGATTTGATGAAGATGTATGAAGGTGCCTTTGCAGAGAACTTTCACTGGCCCCAGCCAAAGCCGGAAGAAGAGACTAGTGAAGAAGGTATATTCTGGCAGAGTTTCCTGTCCAAATGCTTTTATAGTAGATACCAATTTGAACAGAGAGTGGCAGATTTTTTTAGATTTATGGAACTCATCCACACTAATATAATGCTTGGCATTTATATGGAATTTTGAGATGTTCAAGGGGTATTATCTAACACTAATTAAAACAATCCCTCCCAAGGTAGCCCAGATCTATTCTCTCCTCGCTCCACCTTTGTGACTTGGAGAGCAGGGGACTAAAGATGACTGAGAGTGGCTTATGTGGAGGCCATCAAATGGCAAAATTATACTTTTGACCTGGAGACTTCTGGCTTCCAAAATTCCCATGTGTCGTTCATGCCTCATCATCAAAGTTTTTCAGAGTATGGTGGATTTTTCAGCTTTGGTGTGATGCAGGCTTGCTTACGGTTACCTGTAAGTTATGTTTAAGTGGGAGTTTTGTTTCTAAGCCTAATTTGGTGATGGGCTATATTGTGTACCAATGGAAAAGATTGCCTCTGAGTAATCTGCGTTTGGAGTGGTGCATCATTTTGACCAGAGGCCCCACATACGTACATTTGTGTATAATTAAGAGTAAAATCTCACAAGATCACCATATTTGATAATTTTATATTCGCCGGCTGTTTTTAAATAAAAGGTTCAGTTTTAGGATTCTGCTGGCAGCCTCTAGAAATATTAGAGGTGCCTTATTGCGGATCAGTTGTTTCCGATTGCTTCGTCTTGCCTCCCCCGCCGTGGGCATGAAGGCTTGCCACAGGAGGTCAGCCTATCAAATATTTCTCCACGAGTCCCACTTGTGCCGAGTGTTTTCAATTTATTCTTTGTTTAGAAATGGAAGACCGCCCAGCCGAAAGGGAAATCCTTCAAAAGGAGGTGATCTTGATTGACTCCCTCCTCAGCATCGAACAGTACAAAGGGGCCGAGAGAGTGATGCCCGGCAAGAAACATGGGCGAGATATAGCAGAAGTGGCAGCTGCGGCAGAAACCCTCTTGCCAAAAGGCAGTGCCCGGATCACAACCGCGGTAAATATCTCTGTGTGTATTTATATTTACAGGTAGTCCCCGGGTTAAGAACGCCTGGTTTACAGACATCCCATGGTTAAGAACGGAGCCTATGGTAGCAAAATTCGAGTTAAATACACAATGGTTTGAGTTAATTACACAATACTACCCATACAGTATTATACAATAATACTGTTCTGGCTTATGTACAAATTTGACTTAAGGACAGACATTGGAAACGGAACTTGTTCTTAAACTGGGGTCTGTCTGTATTTCACTGGTGGTATATGTTGAACTGTATCCAAAGATTCTTTTCTACAAGCGCAGAAGGGGAGGTTTGTTTATTTATTTATTTATTAAATTCCTCACCTGCCCATCTCCCCCCAATGGGGGAACTCTGGGCAACTCACACCGAACATTAAAAAGATAAATATATATAAATACATAAAACATCAGTTTAAAAGCATTTCTAAAAAAAGGGGAAGGA